TATATATATATATATATATATATTTCTGATTTAGTTTAAGTTCATGAAATGAATAATTCATAAAAAATAATCAAACACCCCCAAAAGTAGTTCCTCCTAACAAATTAAAGTGAATTGCTTGCCTAGCTTTCTGTGTGTTGTCTTGTTTTTGTGCGGTTTTTCATCTAATTTGACAATTTTAAGAGAAATGTAAGTTTTTTTTTTATCAGTTATGGATCAGGACAAGCAGCTGCCAGTGTTCCTCTGTAGATTTCTCATATTGTCCTGCTGGCAGTGATCTGAAGTGCAGGCAGCTTCAGTAGAGTCTTAATATTGGTGGTGATAATTAGGGGTGTAACAATACATCAGTCCACATTAATATATAGATTAAATGATTGATTCAATTACATCAAGATAAAACAAAAACATTAATCCGTATTGTCGTCATACGCCTGAATTAAAATTGTATCATGACAGATGTGATATCAAGAAACATCGTATCGTCATCCAAACGAATTGATAAAATATTGTATCACTATAAACCTGCTGAATTACACCCCTAGTAATAATTCTGCCCAGTGGCCATATTCTGCTAGTTAAAACTCATTTAGCCACTACTACACTAAAACTACCTCAAACGATGTTATTTAATGCAGCAGCACTTGCTGTGTCCAACCGTTTTCCTTGTGGGTTTAGATTTAGTAGATAATCATCAGTCAGCAGCTTGAAGCTGACATAAACAGAAGGTAAAAAGACAACTAAATAAAATCCACCCGTGCTTGATATAACTAACAATGTGGCTTCTGATTTACAATAATTGGAGATATATTGAATAAAGTTAATTGCATATTTCTGTATAAATATTTTGGCATAAAACAAATTGATATATTTAATGTTGGCTTCATATGAAAAGACAGGAGAAAGGCCAAGAGGTTCAGTTTGCAGGAAAACATCTTTTTCCTTAAAGTTATTATTATAATCTTGTCTCACTTTGGTGACGAAGTACAACAACCATTTTATCACAGTATTTGTAAAATTTACATTTTTGCTTTTTCTAAAACCAGTTGTCTGTGGCAGACATCTTGAATTGGGTGAATCAGCTGTAAACATACATTTGATTATTCTCCCCTGTGAGCTTCACTAGAAGAATCAGTAGTTGACTCCAGATATTTAATGACAAATTTTTAAATCAAGTTTTTGTACAATTTGTTAGAGCTCAGCCTATATGTTGAGGATCCTTATCAGCTATGACCACGCCAAATTTTACCTCAATACCTGTAAATGTTTGCTGTGAGTGGATTAATTTGTTTCCAAAAGTTAATCACTGTAGACGTACATCCCATGGTTACTTTCAGGAGATATTTTGCTAACAGACAGACAAACACACAAAGACAAAAAAGCATCACCTTTTGCATTTGGACCAGCCTTTAATAACAACAACAACAATAGCATCTTATCAGATTAGTTTCTAAATAATGCACCATAAATCTTGTTATAGTGTAAAGATAAAGTGATCTCTTTCTGTCTTAATGTTTGTGATTGTAGCTCCAACTGTTTTTTTTAGCACCTCTTAAAGAACCTTGTGTAAGAACCAGTCTTACTGTGTGTTGACGTTTTATTCTGCACAGCTCATAAAGGCTTTCAGCGCTTCGAGGCCCTGGAGCAGAGTGAATGTGTGGGTCCGAGCCAGGCCGGAGCAGGACTGGCTCCACGTCAGAGGTTCCTCTTCATCAGCATCTTGGACAAAAAGGTGAGGAGACTCCTCATTATTTTCCCTCCCGGATGTTCCACACAAATACTTCATTTCCAGTGTTTCCACTCTAGATCATAGTTAACTTGTTATCATTGGAGAACCTTTCTCTTAGTTCTATGATCACTGATGGTCCTGCTGTAATATTATGTCTAAAGTACTTTCAACAAATTCACAGTGTTTGTTCTTCCAGAAGACTATGAAGGTTTTTTTTAGATGGTTATCTGTCTTTCTTGTTAGACGCTCACTGCAGCTTTTTCTGGCTAAGAGACACAAAATGTCTTTTCTCAAACTTAAGAGAATTAAATATTGAGTCTGTTGTAGCTCTACTAAGTTATTCCTCTCTTTTTTAAATCTAATTAAGTTCATTCTATTGACTTCTTGGTCTCCATCTCACTGAATATTTAACATTCTTCCTTATTCCTTATAGAGAGAGTTGTTTATAATCTCAAGGGGATAAAGATGTTTGTTAAACCTAAATTTAGAACCAGTTTGAAGGAACGGAGTACTTCAGTCCAGGGTATGAGATTATGCAATAATCTGGAAGATGACATTAAAAATGTCAGGTCAATGTGTATATTTAAGAGAGTTATAAAAGTTAATTTGTTGGAGAAATATGTAAATGTATGAATTGTTGTTCAACGAGTTAAACCTTTATTTTTTATTTTTTATTTCTTTTTTGTTTTTTGTTTTTGTAAACTAAA